AATTCAACCATTGAAAAAGAGTTATTGAGTTTGGTAATGGCCTTACAACATTTTAATGTTTACATTGCAAACAATGCATCAGAGATGATTGTGTACACTGATCACAATCCTTTGACATTTCTGAAAAGATGTAAGGACAAGAACACCAGATTATTTCATTGCAGTCACATGTTACAAGAATTTCATTTACACATTGTACATGTTGCAGGTTGTGAAAATATTGTGGATGCTTTATCACGAGTTTAAAAGAAAAATGCTTATATAAAAGAGAAATGATAGTGTTCAATGTTATATATATAGAATTAGTATGAAATGTGTAACTCTAGATTAAAGAGCTATGGATCTAGTAATATATTGGAGTTAAGTTTTAAAAGAGAAAAGAAATGAATACATCTTTTCATAATGATGGTTCATTTTTTCTTAAGGGGATGGTAATGCAAAATTGGGTTCAGTACTTGTGGATTAGGATGCAGGAGGTTAGAATTTAGTGTTTGTAAAATGCTAGGAGGGAAAGCATTGTGTGGTCCCTTTAAAAGACTACGTGTTTTTTATGCTTATAAATATATCTATGAACAGCAGCTTGAAAGTTTGAAAGTTCACAGAGAACACCTGATTTGAAACATTTATATCAAAAGGCTGTATAGTTAGCAGGCCAAACAGCACTCTTATTACCAAGACAACAAGTTTTTGAATTTAGCCAATCAATTTGAACCAGGCACTTAGATACTGAAACCAATTAAATTTAAATCTTATGGTTTTGACAACATGAGACCAATCCTATTGCATCAATCCTATTGAATCCCTACAGTGTGGGAACAGACCACACCGACCCTCCAAAGAGCATCCCACCCAGACCCGTCTGCCTAATCCTGCATTTCCCATGGCTGATGCACCTAACCTACACATCCTGTAAACACTGTGGGTAATTTATCATGGCCAATCCACCTAACCTGCACATCTTTGGACTGTGGGTGAAACCAGTGCACCTGGAGGAAACCCACACTGACACGGGAGAAGGTGCAAACTCTACACAGGCAGTTTCCCGAGGCTGAAATCAAACCTGGATCCCTGGTGCTGTGAAGCAGCAGTGCTAACCACTGAGCTATCGTGCTGCCCCAAGAAATTGATATGTCATCAAGGGTATGAAAGAAAGGGTAGCTGGGCAAAGACAGATAGAGCTAACTGCCATCTGCCAGAGTTGACAGCCATCAACCCTTAGGAGAGAATCGCTGACTCTCACAGGCTCCTCTATGTCTTAGAAATAACACCATCTAAAGAGCAAACATACCCATGGCACAAGTAGTGAATATTCCTGTCAGAAGAATTGACGGAGAAGGCACCAAGGATTCCGGAAGACATGAAACCTGATTGTAATTTTCGAGAGACTAAATTCTTTTTTAAATATAAGTGGGACTTGTATTTGTTGGAACAGCATACCATTAGAATCTTGTTTTATTCGGGAATGGTCAGTAGTTAGAAGGGGTTTATTTGGTTTGTTAATAATTTAGTTAATTTGTTCACTGTTAAGTGTTAGATAAATAAAATTGGTACCTGTTGATTGTAAAGAGAGTTTCAGGGATTTATTTTATTTAACCACTAGAAGTTCCTGAAGGGCAGGTTACACCACTTTTCACACTCCTACAGATTATGGGGTGAGGTGCTCCTCTTTGGGTGTTTCAGCTTTAGTTCTCAGTGGGGCTCAACCTCTGCTTTATAACACTAAAGCTTTATACAGATGTAACATATTTTACCAATTTTTATACTCTATGCCCCGACTGATGAAGGCACGCGTGCCCTGTGTCTTCTTGATCACCTTATCCACTCGTATTGCCGCTTTCAGGGAACTATGGACCTGTATGCCTAGATCCCTCTGTATGTTGATGCTACTAAATGTTCTTCCATTTACTGTATTTTTCCCTTCTGCATGAGATCTCCCAAAATGCATCACCTTGTATTTTCTGGATTAAATTCCATCTGCCATTTCTCCACCCAAGTCTCCAGTCAATCTATATCCTGTTGCAAAAATCTCAATGAAGTTTGAGAGACACAACCTTCCAATTTTTGTTTCCAAATGTGAGTAAGTCCTATCCCTAAGAATCTGCTCCAATAATTTCCTAGCCATTGATGTGAGGCTCACTGTCCTGTAATTTGACAGATTATCGCTGTTCCTTAAACAAAGGACAACATTGGCTAATCTCCAGTCCTCTTGGACCTTGCCTGTGACTTAAGAGGATACAAAGATTTCATACAAGGCCTTGGCAATTTACTCCCTCATCTCCCACAGCATTTTGGGATAGATCCCATCAGGTCCTGGGGACTTGCCTACCTTAATGCTTTTCAAAACACCTAATACTTTCTTTTTTATATTGAGATGCCCTTAAAAGGTCAACATACCACTCCCAAGATTCATTACCCATCCACCATGTCCTTCTCCTTTGTGAATACCAATGCAAAGTATTCACTAAGAACCTCTCCCACATCCTGTGGCACCACGCACAAATTCCCTCCTTCGTCCTTGAGTGGATCTACCCTTTCCCCTTCTGATTCCTTATATACATATAAAATGCATTGGGACTTTCCTCAATCCTGTTATCCCAAGACATTTCATGGACCTTTTTAGCCTACCTAATCCTCTTTCCTGCTATCTTCGTATTCTTTGAGGAGGTCGTGCTTGTCTTAAAACACATACAAATTCCTGGGACATGGTCAGGTGAACCCTAGAACTCTGTGGGAAGCTAGGGAAGTGATTGCTGAGATATTTATATCATCGATAGCCACAGGTGAAGAGCGAGAAGACTGGATGCTGGCTAATGTGATGCCATTATGTAAGAAAGGTGGTAAGGAAAAGCCAGGGAGCTATAGACCAGTGAGCCTGACATCAGTGGTGGGTAAGTTTTAAAGATTTTTTATTTATTCATTTGTGGGATGTGGGATTCACTGGCCATCATTTATTATCCACCCCCTAGTGCCTTTGAGAAGATGGTGGTAGTGAGCTGCCTTCTTGAACCACTGCAGTTTACCTGCTGTGGGTTGACCCTCAATGTCATTAGTGAGGGACTTCCAGGAGTTTTACTACAGTGAAGGAACGGTGGTATATTTCCAAGTCAGGATGGTGAGTGGCGTGGAGGGGAACTTGAAAGTGGTGGTGTTCCTATATATCTGCTGCACTTGCCCTTCTAGATGGCAATGTTCATGGATTTGGAAGGGGCTGTCTGAGGATCTTTGGTGAATTTCTGCAATGCATCTTGTAGATAGTACACACTGCTGCTACTGAGTGGTGGTGGTGGAGGGAGTGGATGCTTGTAGATATGGTGCCAATCAAACGGGCTGCTTTGTCCTGGATGGTGTCAAGCTTCTTGAGTGTTGTTGGAGCTGCATCCATCCAGGAAAGTGGGGAGTATTCCATCACACTCCTGCCCTGTGCCTTGTAGATGGTGGACAGGCTTTGAGAAGTCAGGTGAGTTACTCACCACAGTATTCCCAGCTTCTGACCTACTCTTGTAGCCACTGTGTTTATGTGGTGAGTCCAGTTGAGTTTCTGGTCAATGATAACCCCCAGGATGCTGATAGTGGGGATTCAGTGATGGCAACACCATTGAATGTCGAGGGCAGTGGTGAGATTGTCTTTATTTGGTGATGGCAATAGCCTGACATTAGTGTTGCCCAGATACCAAGGTGTAGAGCTGGATGAACATAGCAGGCCAAGCAGCATCAGAGGAGCAGGAAGGCTGACGTTTCGGGCCTAGACCCTTCTTCAGAAATGAACTATTGCCCAAATATGATTTGCCACTTGTCAGCCCAAGCCTGGATATTGTCCAAGACATGTCACATTTGGACAGGAACTGCTTCAGTACCTGAGGAGTCACGAATGGTGCTGAACATTGCACAATCATCAGTAAACATTCCCACTTCTGACCTTATGATGGAGGGAAGGTCATTGGTGGAGCAGCTGAAGATGGTTGGGTCAAGGACACTACCCTGAGGAACTCCTGCAGAGATGTCCTGGAGCTGAGATGACGGACTTCCAAAACCACAGCCATCTTCCTATGGGTCAGGTATGACTCCAACCACCGGAGAGTTTGCCCCTGATACCCATTGATTCCAGTTTTGCTGGGGCTCTGTGATGCCACACTCGGTCGAATGCAGCCTTGATATCAAGGACTGTCACTCTCACCTCACCTCTGGAATTCAGCTCTTTTGTCCATGTTTGAACCAAGGCTGTAATGAGGTCAGGAGCTGAGTGGCCCTGGTGGAACCCAAACTGGGCATCACTGAGCTGTTTGATAGCAATGTTAGTGACACCATCCATCACTTTACTGATGATTGAGAGTAGACTGATGGGGTGTGTGTGTGTGGAATTAGCTGTTTTGGATTTGTCCTGCTTTTTACATACAGGACCTACCTGGGCAATTTTCCACATTGTCGGGTAGATAACAGTGTTGTAACTGTACTGGAATAGCTTGGCCAGGGGAAGCAGAAATTTTACAGCACAAGTCTTCAGTACTATTGCCGGAATGTTGTCAAGGTCAGTAGCTTTTGCAGCATCCAGTGTCTCCAACTCTTTTTCGATATCATGTGGAGTGAATCAAATTCACTGAATACTAGCATCTGTAATGCTGGGGACCACTAAAGGCCGCAGAGATGGATCATCGACTCGACACTTCTGGCTGAAGATTGCTGCAAAAGCTTCAGTCTTACCTTTTGCACTGATGTGCTGGGCCCATTCGTCATTGAGGATGGGGATACTTGAGGAGCCTCCTCCTCTAGTGAGTTGTTTAATCGTCCCACCACCATTCACAACTGGATGTGGCAGGTCTGCCCAGTTTTGAGTTGCTAGATCTGTTCTTTTAGGAGTGGGAAAAGTTTCTCCCTACTAACTCTATCCAGCCCACTCAGGATTTTGAAAACCTCTGTCCCCAGAACATTCCCAGGGTTTCTGGATTAACAGTCTAGTGATAACACTAGGTCATTGCCTCCCCCAAAGTAAGAAACATTAGAGAAACAGTGAATTAAAATTTTATTTAAAACAAATTTCTCTGTACATCTGTTGTTATATACAGAAACACAATATACATGAACTGACCTATATCACACATGAAAACTAACATCTACCATTAGAAGGCACTGACTGGACTCAGTAAAAGTGAAGTCATGCCCCCAGCTGCAGAACACCCCCCTAAAAACCAACAGCAGACCTACTGCACAGCACTGGGTGCAGGACAAACTAAAGAGAGGTCCCCTTTGTTCTCCTCGCCCCTCCTGTTGCTATCTTTACCTGGGTTTTATTCTCCAACAGCCCCTTGCAAAGGGTGACCCAATCCTCAATACCCACCCAGAAAAGACTGTCCCAGCACAGAGTTGGATACAGAGTAAGGCTCTCTCTACCCTGTCCCCATCAAATCCTCCCAGGACAGGGACAGCACAGGGTCAGATACAGAGTAAAGCTTCCTCCATACTGCCCCCATCAAATACTCCCAGGATTGGGACAGCACAGGGTTAAATACAGAGTAACGTTCCCCCTATTCTGTCTCCATCAAATACACCCAGGAATGGGACAATACAGGGTTAAATACAGACTAAAGCTCCCTCTTTACTGCCCCCATCAAAACACTCCCAGGGCAGGGTCAGCACAGCATAAGATACTGAGTAAAGCTCCCTCTGTGCTATTGAGGACTCTGCTGTTACCAGACAGTGTTACTTTGGCAGAACACCATTGAGATGTCTAGCTTTGCCAATCAATGCTGAATTCAAGGCTGTGAAAAAGGCCTCATTGAACACGTTCCACAACGCAATACTCCAGCCTAAAACTCCAGAGGAAGCAGACAGGAGCATCGCACAAAGCTCCCAGGTATGATCTGATGTGCAGCTTCGGCAGGCAGCACAAGTGATAAATTAGCAGATGGATATGAGGTGTAGAGTGAGAGAAAGTTGGATTGAGAAAGCAGGGACAAGAAATCTTCCAGCAAGGACACATAGTAAAGGGTGCTTTGATCTTTAATTGGGTTGGAGATACTGGGGTTGCCTCAAAGCTGAGTCAGAGACACAGTTAAACATTGTGTTTGAATGGGACCGACTCTTGCTGCTGAAGTCAGTCTTGGGTTCACTGACGTTGCCTTGTGAGATGATTCCAGGGAACTGTGTTCTCCAGTACACAGACACTCAGCACTTCAGCTCAGCTAGAACTTTCGTCACGTGACCAATCCCTTTCGTCACTCCTTCCCGGAAGAGCAGCTTGGCTCCCACTTTCAGGTACTCCGGATGTTTAATAAAACGGAAACGGACAACAGCTTTCTCCCCTGTTCTCAAATCCTCCTGAAACAAGCAACTCCAATCAGACTTCAGTGAGAGGACAGGAGTGGGGGAAGCTGACAGTAAGAGCTGAATGAGGCAGGGAGATGTGGAGAATCTTGCTATTGGGTATGGTGGGTGAAGTGTCACTTACCTTGCCATGGATTAGTTCCACAGTGGCAGTCTGCCGTACATTACCAACGTGCACCGTCACCTGGAACCCCTTACGGAAAGTCTTTGCATGGAAAAGCAGTACAATCTCGGATTCAAACAGGGAGCTGACTGTTGGGTTCATCTCGAGACTCACCATTACCATGCCCTGGGCCATAGACAGAGTTAGTTACAATCCACCACTTCATATACAACATTCCTGACAAGACAGTTTTGACCCAAACTGATCATGTTCTCTAGAATCATTAAGCCCAGCCAACCACAGTGCCTGTACACACAGCAGTGTGCGCAATCCCGACAGACCACAGCATGCGCAATCCTGAGAGATTGCAGTGTGCGCAATCTCGATTGAGTGAAAGTGAAGACGACTGAACAGCTCTCAGGTCCTGATGGTGGTTCCATTTGTACAAAGCCTTATCCGCCGTGTAGGAATGCTGGGAGTTCCAGAAGACAATCTGCACTGATTATCCCCATTCTACAGGACAGTGTGGAGACCGTGCTCTCCAGAATATCCTGAATCAATGGAGTTTACATCGAGTCACTGCAACCAAGTGCTTCTTGGAGGAACATGAGGCCATTCAGTCCGTCCAGCCTGTCCCACCACACAACTTGTATTCTAACTTTCAACTCAGCTCTCTGCTTGTCAAGATAATGGGCCTGACTTTATAATGAGTGTAGTGGCACCAGAGCCCCTGGACTGCCTGAGAAACAGACAGTAGGCTAGGCCAATGCTGAACTAGATACCCACCTTGCGCAGAAGGGCTCTGTCAAAGTTGCCCAGGGCCAGAGTGGCTGCTTGTCCTGCTCTCAGCACTCGACAGGCAGAACGGTTTCGCTGGATGCTGCACACTTTCAGAGGCAGGAACTTGCCATTGTCTGTGGGGCCCACAACCAGCTGCTCACCTTCTCTGCAAATGCCACTGGGTGAGAGAGAGAAAGAGAAACAGAGAGAAAACCATAGCCTTGAGGAACTGTCGGTCAAAACAAACAGGGAGAGGGGCGAGGGGTGATTTCAACCAGCTCCTTACCCACCCATCGAGGGATCTGAGGGCATTCAGCTTGGCTTTCAAAGCTCCAATTTCTCGCCAACCACTACAGCTTGGGGACAGAGGGTCCAGATTCCCATTCCTGTGTGAAGATGTGTTTCTGACATCCTCCCAAAAGGCCCAGCTTCAACATTAAGCTGCTGCCCACTTGTTCAAACTCCTCACCCCCACAACCAGAGGAAGTCGCTCCTCTGCATTCTCCCTGTTAAATGAATTAAATTGTTTACAATGATGAAAGCAATCTCCCACGCCTCAATCTTTTCAAGTCAGGCCATTTCAAATCTGGTCTGTGCCACGTGCCCTCCTGTCTTGCCCCTTTCAGTCCTCCCCAACCTCATTCTGTGCTGAATCCTCAAAAGGTTCCTTCCAGCTTCCCTGAAATGCAGTGAGTTCAACTGAATGCAGTGCTCCTACTGTGTTTGGAGCAACAGCTTGTAGAACTGGTCAAGTTGCCCTGCTCCTCTTATATTCCACCAATCGCAATAAAGGCAAACATTCTATCAGCCTGTGAAAACTGGACAACTTGTACAAAACCCATTCTCAGCAAGTTCTGGCTTCAATCATACAGCATCAGTTGTAGACCACCTGAGCGATTAGCTCTCCCACAATCTAAAACTCCAGCAGCTGCGGAACGTGAAAGGGACTAGGATAAGGTGATGCATTTTGGAAGGTCAAGTACCAGTGGAAATTACACAATGAATGGCATGACCCTTAGGGGTATAGATATGCAGAGGGATCTGGGTGCGCAGGTCCACAGATCACTGAAAGTGGCAGCACAGGTAGATAAGGTAGTGAAAAAGGCTTATGGCATGCTCGCCTTCATTGGAACCCCTTGAGTGTAAGGATAGGCAGGTTATGCTGCTGCTTTACAGAATTTTAGTTAGGCCACACTTGGAATATTGCGTACAGTTGTCGTCATCACACTACCAGACGGATGTGGATGCTTTGGAGAGGGTACAGAAAAGGTTTACCAGGATGTTGCCTGGTATGGGGGATTTTAGCCGTGAAGAAACGTTGGATAGACTGGTTTGTTTTCACTGGAATGCAGGAGGTTGAGGGGCGACCTGACAGAGGTTTATAAATTTTGTGGCTCTTTCCCAGTGGAGGGATAAATTACAGGGACACAAGTTCAAGAGTGGGGGGGGTGCAGAAATAGTTTAAAACACGTGAGAGGCAGCTTTTCACAAAGGGTGGCAAGTGCCCTGAACATGTTGCCAGAGGAAATAGTTGAAGTAGACACAACAGCAGCATTCAAGAAGCACTGGACGAATACATGAATAGGAAGGGAACAGAGAGATATGGATCCTATAAGTGAAGACAGTTTTAGTATGGAAGGGCAAAATATGTTGGCGCAGGCTTGGAGGGCCGAATGGCCTGATCCTGTGCTGTACTATCTTTGTATGGGAGGGATGGCTGGATACAGTCACACACAGGGGCTGTGGAATGTGAAAAAGACCAGGAGGGACTGCTGGATACAGTACGGTACAGTGACTGTGGAACATGGAAGGGCCCGGAGGGATAGCTGGATATAGTTGGACACAGAACTGAAAGCATTTTAATACTTACCTGTACAAGGTCCCACCAACAACTGTCCCCACATCAGGGACAGAGTAGATTTCATCAACCTGGAAGAGATATAGGAACAAGAGATCACAAACTTTACAAGAAACATTGCTTCACAACTGGCTAACTCCATCTGAAATATGTTTCCTGCCCATTCCCTTCTATACCAACAAACGGCACTGTTTGACAAGACAAAGCAGAGGGAAATCAACTTTGGGAGCATTTACTGGGGGAGCGCTGCACCGTCGGAGGGCCAGTGCCGGGGGGGAGCGCCGCACCGTCGGAG